AAGTAGTAGAACAAGGAATTCAATCTGTAACTGAATGTGAACAATCAAGTGAGATAACTCACTACCTACAGACCAGCCTAACACAGCAGTCGTGATTCCTGTAGCATTACAGTAAGTCTTGATGTCGAGTAGTGTCAGCTCTCTGACTTTGTTCTTCTTCGATACTGTGTTGGCTAGTCTGAGTTTTTCGCCTTTTCATATACACTTTAGAATCTGTTCTTTTTATATCTTTAGACTTTTCTCTTTGTCCTTGGAGTTTTGCAATTTTTCTGCGCTGGGTTTTTCTATATGGATTTCTTCTTATTTAGTCTGCTTAAAATTTGTAGGACTTCCTGAATCTGTGGATTGGTATCTTTCAAAATTCCTGGATAATCCTCAGCCATTATCCCTCCAGATGTTGACTGCCCCTGCCCCACTCCCTGGGCCCTCATTTTATGGCCTCTGATTAAACATACATTAGATGTTCTCCCTCTTCTGGGCTTCCTGACTGCTCTTCCATGTCTCCCGTTATTGCTCCTCCCTGTGCTGCACTCTGGATAATTTCTTCTGATCTGTTTTTCAGTTTATCAACATCCTATTATGTTTTAGAGATGAAAATCCTTCGAGTTTTAATTTTGGTTACTCTACTTTTGATTTTTAGAAGTTCTATTTAGTTATTTTTCAAGTCCATTAGATTATTTTTGTTAATAGTTTTCTATCTTTAATAAATATTTCAAGCTCATCTTGTTTTTTTTTCTTTTAATTTAAACAATACAGTTTTATCTTTATGTGAAAATAATCTGAAATCTTTGGTCCATTTTTTCCTGCTACTTCTTGCTGGATTCAGCCTGCTAAAACAAATCCCATTAGCTGTAAAGGTTTATCTTAGAAAGACCTGTCTTTCTCCTAAGTTTCTTCTTTTTCCATGTGGCCTCAGGCATTAATCCAGGTACAGCGGTGATATAGTAATAATTTGCATGTACTTTACCTTGGCCTGCAGGGAGCGGTTTTTGGCAATATGTTGCTCTTCCTAACCATGGCAGCCAGCGAGTTGAAGCTGACCTGATGCCTCCTGGGGCTGAGACAGTGCCGTGGTCACTGCAACTCAAACCAGGGACAGGTTTTATGTCACCTTTCTCACTCAATAATGCCTCTTGTTGGCCACATGCCTACAGAGTACTGAAGGAGGACTGTGTGGTCTACCAGGTGTTTCCATAGCACCTGAATGTCTCCGACTGCCACCCCAGGTACAAAGCGCAGTGTTAGATACCCTACATATCTGCTGAAGTATTTGAGTGAACTCATGTGATATCCAGGATTTGCCTTTAAAGACTCCAACAGCCCCCTCCCAAATTCTGGAGGGCTATATGAAGCAATTGGCTATGAAACAAAAGTTGGTGATTGCTGAAGCTAGGTACTTGGGGGGCTTCATTATACTACTCTCAGCTTTTGTGAATGTTTGAAACTTTCTTAATAAGAAGTTGTTTCCTGGTGGTCTAGTAAAGCAAAGAAAAAGAAATTGTTTTTGCCTTTTCCTTTTAAAATGTGTTGCAGCATCTTCCTTGGGCTTGTTTTCTCTATTTCCCTAGGCAGATGTGATGGCAGACAGGGTCCCCCGCTGCCCAGACTGCGCCGGCATCGTGAAGCCCGACATCGTGTTCTTTGGGGAGATGCTGCCCCAGAGGTTCTTGCTGCATGTGGCTGATTTCCCCATGGCAGATCTGCTGCTCATCCTTGGGACCTCCCTCGAGGTGTGTCAGTGGGCCTGTGTGGGGAGAGGAGGTGGGGTGCACAGGAGTCACCCTTGGGGGCGTGGGGCATTGGTGCCACCTTTGGAAGAGGAATGGACTCAGCTGGGCCTCCAGGCTGAGGAAGTAGCAGCCTGGCTGGGAGGCGGACAGTGGGAAGCCACTGGGCTGGAGGTGCTGTATGTATGGGTGGGGCGCCATGTATGAGGGGAAGGTGGGGGTGCAGAGGGCTCCCAGGTCAGATCAGGAAGACTGATGCTGTGCTGGAAGCACTGACACACCAGAAGCGATTGGCCCAGGGATGGAGCTGCACCCTTGGGGTCAGGGAGACCTTTGGGGACTGGGGATTGGAGCGAGCAGGTGCCAGGATGCCAGTCCTGAGAGCAGAGCTGTGGGCCATCATAGGGACAGCAAGGAGTGGGCTGGACGCTCAGCCTGGAGACACTCTGTGGAGGGGGAGAAGGAGGTGTCTGGCTTGGGCTACGGGGTCAGGGCATTTGCTGGTGAGGGGCAACTTGGGGCGGGGCGGGCTGAGTTTGGTCCCACCCACACGTCTGAGGGTCCTGGGAGATACCCACTGGCCATACTCAAGCAGTTGTTCTGCATCTGGGTTTGAAGCTCAGGAAGTTTATAAAAGATGTGATGAGAGCAAGAAATCAGGCTGTGAGCTGAGCTGGTGCCTGATTAGATGTTGGCACCCAGGGCCAGAAGGGCCAGAGAGACCTGTGCTCAGAGGGGCCGAGGGCTGGGAGCCCAGAGTTGTGCGCTTGTTTGTTAGTTGCTTCTGCTGCCTCCTGTGTACTGGGCCCTGTGCCAGTGCTTAGGACAGACGCAGTAAGATGCACATGTAGGAAGCTATATAGTTTGTTAGGAGATGATCTGCGCTATACGGAAAATTGACCAGTAGGCTAGAAAGGGGAGGGGTTGGACACGGGATGCAGTATCAACCTGGTTGTTCTGCTTGTGCCTTGTCAGGAAGGTGTCACTGAAGCTAAGGGTTGATGGAGGTGAGGGGTGTCTGGCAGGAGACATGGCACAGGTAAAGTCTGTGGTGATGGGCTGGGTGCAGTGACTCACGCCTGTAATCCCAGCTACTCGGGACACTGAGGCAGGAGGATCGCTTGAGCCCAGGAGTTCAAGGTTGCAGTGAGTTATGATGGTGCCCCTGAACCCCAGGCGGGGTGACAGAGCAAAACTCTGTCTTTAAAGAGAAAAAAAAGTCTGGTGATGCACCAAGTTTGGAGCATAGAAGTGGAATGCTGTGACTTATTGTTGGGTTCCTCTGGGTGCTGGGTTGTGAATCCACCATGGGGACAGGAGTGGGAGCTGCAGACCCAGCAGGGCCTTGCAGGTGGTGTCCAGGTGGCATGGCATATGGCCAGGTGAGCCCAGTGTGTGTGAATGCACTGTTGGTGCGACGCACCGTGTGGGAGGGTGTGGGCTCCAGCAGGACTCCAGGGCTGTGGCCTGAGTAGCAGGGAGGAGGAGCCACCGTCTCCTGAGATGGAGAGGCCTAGAGGGCGGGTTTGGGAGTAGCTCAGGAACTCCGCCTCAGTCACACAGGTTTGGGGAATGATGAGCCACCACGTGGAGGTGTTGAGCAGGCAGGTGGACACGAGTCTGGAGTCTGGGAGGGACGAGAGGTAGGAGCTGGAGTCCTGGAGTGAGCAGAGGAAGAGCACAGGGTGTAACAGATGTGGGGACACCTAGGCCAGTCCTGGAAGGGAAGGTGGACATGGGGAGCTGTCAGAGCAGCCGGAGCCTGGCAGTGTTGGTGCTGTGGTCATCAGTGGTGCGTGGCACTAAGCCTGGCTGACCACGCCACCTGCCAGATGTGAACACTGGGGCCACCAGTCATCTTTATTTTTGAAGTGAAATGAAAATAGCCTTTTTTTTTTCTGATTGTAATAGTGTACCACACTCTTGTTTTAAAAGATTGATACGTTATAAAGGTATAAAGCAAAGAGTCAACCTCAATCCCACCACTGTTAGCATTTTGTTCTGTGTCCCCTTGGGTTTCTTTTTTGTACAAATACACACATACAGATGGTGATTTTTAACCAAAAGTTGGACAACACTGTATAGCCTATTCAGCAACGTGCTGTTTTCATGTAAACGGTGTGAGCAGGTAGAGATCTGCTGCCTTGTTGTTTGTTTGTTTTAGAGATGGGGTCTTGCTCTGTCACTCGGGCTGGAGTGCAGTGGTGCCATCATAGCTCACTGCAGCCTTGAACTCCTGGGCTCAAGGGATCCTCCCCGCCTCATCTTCCTGAGTAGCTGGGACTACAGGTGTGCTCCACCATGCCCGCTAATTTTTTTATTTTTTGTGTGGGTGCGGTGGCTCATACCCGTAATCCTAGCACTCTGGGAGGCTAAGGCGGGAGGATTGCTTGAGCTCAGGAGTTCAAGACCAGCCTGAGCAAGAGTGAGACCCGTCTCTACTAAAATTATAAAAATTAGCCTGGCACAGTGGCATGTGCCTGTAGTCCCAGCTACCCTGGAGGCTGAGGCAAGAGGATCACCTGAGCCCAGGAGTTTGAGGTTGCTGTGAGCTAGGTTGATGCCATGGTATTTTTGTAGAGACAGGGTCTTGTTGTGTTGCCCAGACTGGTCTCAAAGTCTTGGGCTCAGAGATCCTCCCACCTCAACCTCCCAAAGTGCTGGGATTACAGGTGTGAGCCACTGTGCTTGGCCATCTGCTGCCTTGTTAACACCAACAGTCTCCCTTATCCGGGTAACAAGGTCCCAACTGAGAGGTCCTTTTCTATAACCGAATAAGGTATAAACTGAATAATCTGATGTCACACACAGAGTTTATTTTGTACGCTTTGTGGAAGAAATATCAATGTGTTTGATTATGGAGTACTATGTCCAGATCTCCTTTAGGTGTGACATTATACATGGCATATAAACCATATGATCTTTTCTAACATATGAAAAATTCTGAATTTTGAAACACATGAAGCCACAAGAATTTTAAGGTAAGGGTTTGTGGATTTATAACAAAATTTAAGCAATTTCTTATTGGTGTACAATAAAAATGAATAGTATACAATTTTTGTATTAAAAATGCTATAGTATAAATATCCATGTGTATATATTTTTACACATTCACGCAAGTACTTCTGAAGGATAAATGTTGATAAATATTGAGAACTTGCTTTCCAGAAAGATACACCAATTATATTGCCACAAAGTGTATGAGT